GTATACACAATCTAATCTGCTATATAATATAAAACAGAAGGAAATAAGCACGCTTTATTCTGTAATACACATTTCCTGTAAAATTTATTTCTGTAAAGTTTATTCTGAAAATGAAATTAACATTTCTAGAAGTGTATAACTGCTTACAAGGTCAATGCAACATGTGTGTGACAAATTTCCTTTCCTTTTTTTTCTCCACAGAGCCAATAATTACTTCGTCATTTTGATCTACGCTCAGTGATTTCTAATGGAAATAAAGAGGAATACTCATTTTCTCAGTTTCTCGAGGGATTAACATGTGTCTTCCATAAAAGCAATAGACAGTAAATATAAAATCTTTATATCACGCCAAAGAGCCAAAGAAGGGCTGTCTTCTGCTGGAATGCTACGAGATCCATTCCCTGCACCCTGTTGGGTGTAAGGCCCATAGCAATGACATTTCCAGTCAGGGTTAATTTTTTTCTTAATAAGTTTATGTAAAGCTTTACAGCTTCTGGAAAAAAAATCAACTAATGTTTCACAATCTGAAGGCATAAAGAAAGAGATATAGAAAGAAAGGAATGCCATGCTGAAACCAGCAGAACAATGGGCCAGCTCTGCCTGCTCAGCTGCTTTATATTTTATGCCAGCCTTTTGCATTCAGAAATTATGAATCAGTGCCTTCACTCACTCCTTCCCTCACATGACATGGTTTAAGATTTCTCTCTGCCGGGGGAAGCTAATGAAAAATAATTTCTTCTGTAGCGATAAATAACGCAATGTAAAGCACCTGGAGACTTGCAGTTTTCATGGGAATTGAGAGCATGGGCAGAGAAGCCAGTCATTTGTCTTTTAACATGGCAATAAAAACATTTTACTTTCCCAGTTTCTTCTTCAAAAAAGTATTAAGCATACTGACTGTTTTTAGCGATGATCTTTAATTTTCAGAGGGTTACAGAAGTTTGTATTAGAAGACTAATACAAACAGAGCAGTTTTTAAACAGCAAGGGGGACACTGGCCAAAGGTTTTGTAGCTCTGGCTTCCTTACAACACTAATACAATTACAGATGTAAAATATTGAAGACAAAAATGCTGATCCTAGTGTGGTCCATTGTATAGCACTCTGTAATCCTGAGAGGATATTTTTTTAAACTTACTTTCTGCTAAGAAATGGAGTTCATGATTCTGATTCCACAGGAAAGATGAGCAACATGCCTCCTTTGCTTCATAGAAGAATCTGGGTAATCATGTCATCTAGAGAAAAATACTAGCTTCCAAGTTTTAAAAGTCATTTCCTTTTATTCACAGCTAATAATTCAAAGTGAAAGCTGTTGCTCACCTTCCTTGCCCATGCAAGCAGATTTCAGTCTATTGCATTATAATACAGTGCATTGTACTATTCCTTGGAGTTTAGATTTGCCTAGAAAAGGCATTTTTTTACAGAAAATTCACTCTTCAGTTAACAATAATGTACTCATGTTACTGGGAGTTACTCACGGTCTGGTGGCACTATCAAATAAAAATCCTGCCAGTTAAACCTGCCAAGAGCTGGTGGAGTATTTCTATTCTGCACCTTGTGCTCTGCTACTGTGCTAATTAGTTGAAAAGCTCTCATGTTTCTGATACTCATTTTATGCTGGTATATGTGATTGCATAAGGTGCCAGAGAGAGGAGAACCAAACAGCATAGGGCATCATTATTTCTGGATTATAATTTCATTAGAAATAATTCTTCACGGTGACTTCAGACAGGCTGTTTAATCTTGCTAAAGAGACAAGAAGAAAGCCCTTGCAGAATTTGTTCGGGATGGGTCCACCAGCGTGGCCATCCCTCTCCCCCAGCCTGACATCTTCTCCCCCTCGATGGATCCTGAAGGTCGTATGCGAGCAGCCTATCTCCCGGTGTCTCTGCACCTCAGTCCTCTGCATAAAACCAAGTGGGAGCCAAGTCCCCTTTTCACAGTCCCCATACAGGGGAATCCTGCAATACAGAAGAGCAGTAAGGATCTAATAGTCTTCCTCACCTCAGTAATTCTGAAAGGAAGACCAACTTTTGCCCTCTGTCTCCCTGTGAATATGCCAGAGACTTGGCCAGGGAAAGGGAAACGGTGGTGTAATCGAACAACAAGTAGAGGGGTAGGTGCACAGTGTGAAAGAACATACCAGTTTGGATTAATCTGTATTTTCTATTGGAAAAACACTTAATCAGAAAATGTTGATGGCCAGCAATGTAGGATCTATTCTCTCTGCCAAGGCAAAGGTGATTATACAGTTTTTGTCAGCTCATATGATAATCACAGAGGCAACTTAGGAATTTAGAGGAATTTATTTATGTCAGCAGTGAGACAGGTCTGGTAAGCAGCCCAGTGCAGCTGCACGTCTGACGTGGATTTAAACTAGAAATGCTTAGAGCACGTGTGTGTCTTCTAACAGCCTTAGTAGGAAATTCATAATCAGCTCAACCAGACTAAAAGAATGTGAGGCCCTATAACCATTACAGTATAACTTTCAGCTGGGACTGTGGTTTATAACACCAGAAGGCTTCATTTATTAATGAATTTACTTATGAATGAATTTATTAAGGCATAGTTGAGAGAAGAATCCCTTAAACGGGACATTTGTTGGGGGAAAATACACTGCATTTTCAAAACACACAGAATGAATTTCATACAAGGTAAATTTTATTTATCCCCTCATTTCACAAAACGTGGATGGAAGAGTCTCAAGAAGACACTGGCTCACTGAAGACACCATTCATATTAAATAAAGATTAGAAAAGTACAGTCATTTATATTCTACACTATATTGCCATATGAGGACATTGATGGATTACTGTTACTGTTTGTTAGAGAGGAAATGCACCATCTCATACTGAAAGTGACTGAAAAAAGCCACGTAGAAACTGAAGCTGGAGGGAAAAGCAAAAAGGTTGCAGGAAGAAAAAAGGAGAAGATAGAGTGGAGAATGGCAAATAAGAAGGGAAGGTAAGAACAAAGAGAACAGCAAGAAAGGAAAAGATGGAAGAGAAAATGTATTGAAATGGAGAAATCAGTGAAACAAGGAATGAGACAAAACTCTCAGATTTCATTAACAACAGAGACAGTTGTCAAGTGGACTCAGTTTCAGAAAAAAACCTCTGGGCAATTGAACTCTGCATTTTTACAAGTCTGCGGGAGTTAAGCAACCTTTGCCTGTCTTGCACTCTGAAAAGATTTATTCTCTTCACAGTTTCCTTAGTATAATATTGTATTTGTATCACTAAATCACTGAAAGTTTCTCAGGACCTTTCATTTAGATCATCTGATTTTGATTTACACAGGAGAGGGAGAATTGCAAAGACTTCCCTCTTTTGTGTCTCAGTTATAGAATAGCTTCTATTCTTTCTTTATCCATACTGCACAGCTGTATCATTTGCTGACATAAAAATTCTGAAATGGAGCAAGGGGCAGGAGCATACTTGAGTGCTATTATGTTACTTTAGACTATTATGTTAATTTACAGTACCTGAGGACCTGCTTGCAACTCTACAGCAAAACGTAAATGGAATAATGACATAATCACATCAGCAATCTCACCCACCAAAATAGTATCCTGTTTTATATTCTTGAAAGAATTTTCTGAAAGATAGAAAAATTAGGAGATTCCTGTTGAAAAGCCATTTTTTTACAAAGTAGCGTTCTATCAACTCGAGTCCCTTTGCTTGTTTGAAGTATCAGTATGCTGCAAGTCCAACCGGTGGTCATTTTGTGACCTCTCTATTCTTGCCAACATCTTATTCTCATATTTTAAATCAATATGTGTAATATATTTATATATGAAACCATAATGCACAAATAAAAATATCATAAATAACGCATAAGGAAGCCAAAGAACAGTAAGTACAAAATTACCTTAAAGTTGTTAAAACCTTAGGTGCTCCCAGTTAAATGCAGCCTATATGCTTTGCTAAACAGGGAAAGACCTATGGTTATGTACTGAGTCTTACGTAAGCTCATGATTTTTTTCTATTTCCTCTCCACATCCTTCCTCTGAAAAAAAATGCATACAGTGACATACTAAATCTTCCATGCAATAATAGCATCTTTACACTAGAGGGTGTTACTTAGACAAGATTTTTGGACATGTACTATTTTGCTTTCAAAAACTTTTCTCTCTTTGGAAAGAAAATAAAAGCACATCTGAATTAAGAAGCAGCTGTTGCTAGAGGGAGAAATTCTACTGTTATCTGAACAAAAAAAATTTAAATATAATGGTGAGACTATTTTCCACAGACTTAGCCGTGAGGGACATCGGTAATACAGCTGTTTCAGCATCAGTAGGAACTACGCATATAGTTACAACGAGGCAGTGTTAGAGCTGAGTAAATAGCACAGATATTTTAGTCTGCTTTTACTTAAAAAAGCTATTGTGACATGGAAAACAGATTAACCAAAGGGGTATTAAAATGAGATCACGGGTCCTTGTCAGTGGAAGGGGTAGGAACATCTCATGGAGGAATACATAAAGTAGGTCTAGTACAAATGCAGTGTTACTGGCTGTCTGGATGTAGTATGATGGAGGGTTGCCCCATGCCTGTCGCAGTGGCTCCCGGCTGACTTTCCCGCGCGGAGCAGCCTGCCCTTGCTGCTCCCGGACAGTGATTTGCAAGTGGGTTGGTACAGGCAGCTCTTGTACGTCCAACCCAAAAATCTCTCTTGAACTCAGGGGACCCAAGGGGATTGGTAAGGGGGCAAGATGGTGTGTGCCCTGCCCTTCTGGCCACCTCGGGGACCTTGGCGCTCCCACTGCTTGGCTCCAGTACCGCCCCGATAAGCGGTATTTAGGGATCTCAAAAAACTGAGAGAAACGTGAAAAGGGACCTGCATTTTTATGTGAACGTTTGCTTTTCGGCTGAAATTATCGCAGCGCCACAGAAGATGAGCTGGCAGAGAATAAAAAGCCAAAATTCAAAGTACGAACACAATTTTAAGAATTCTTGCAGTTTGGGGGAAATTGCTGAGGTCAGTACAGGGTCCACGTCTATGCCGACAGTACAATCGCATGGGGAGGAGTGGGCTCAAGGCCCGCTGCTGCCCGACCTGCCACTGCTGTTGCCGCAGCAAGGTCCGTGTGACCCTCCTGCAGGTGTTGGCAGAGCGGTGAGCAGCCGGTGCTCAGGCTGCCTGCCAGAACTGCCTGCCCCTGCCAGAGGCAACATCCTGCCTTTTTAAGAGGGACCCCTATAGTGACAAGGCATTGCTGCGAAAGCGGGTAGGTGGTTCGAGGAGGAAAGGTCAAGAACGGTGTGTTGGTCCACCAGCCTGTACCGTAAGCAGATGTCTGCTTGACTATGACTAATATATGTCTAAACAACTTGCACCCAGTTTTCTATCATAGGAAAGAAAGTAGCCCTTTTCTTGTTCATAGGCATAAGTACATTTGTGAGTGCAAAAACAGTCACACATTTTTTTCAGAAAATGACTTTTAGAAATCTACATTCTCCGTAGATTGAGCTAATTTCCTTTAAAAGGGTTGTATGCAATAAACATTTCTGATTTTTCTTCCATGATAAAGGACAACAGTAAGCTACACTTGCAGGGCCACATCATGAGGCTTTTACTTTGCCTTCACTTCTGTGAAGGTTTGCCTGCATTTTGTTACCCACTGTCAGGCTGGTCTTACGGTATTCAGCCTCCCTGACATCAAGCAGGAGCAAATGCAGTATGTAAGTCTGTCTGAATACTAAAGCTACATCAAGTTGTGCTCTTTCAAGGCATTTTAAAAATGGTAATCCCATTGAATAGAGCTGTTGATATGAGTAAGCAGCCCCCTACAAACACGTGCTGCCTTTGCTGTGTGCTAGAAGATGAGGATCCCGCTGGAGCCAGATGGCAATCTCACAAGCACTCTGGGAGACGTTTCTAAAAGAAAATACACCTGGAAGGAAAGTCAATTGGAGTCACTTTGTCCATGAAATTGTTTGGTCAAAAAGTATTCAGCCAGCTAACAGTCATCAAACCAGAGAGGGGAAGATAACCTTGCCGCTCTGCTGGCTCTGAAGTTATGCCAAGTAATGTGAACTGTTTATTTTAGGTACTTTTGTTCTCAGCTTTTCTAGTTCCTTGGTGATTCTTGTTTCTCAGCACAGAGAGGTAGAAGAAAGACGTCGGTGTGAATATGGTAGAAGAAAAAATAAAACAGATATTAACCAAGCACGCATGCGTGCGCACGCACGCACACACACACGCACACTCATAAAAAATCTAAATATGTGTATATATGTGTGTGTGTGTATGTGCATTTTGCAGTGTTAATTAGCTTGAGACAGATCTAGAGATCAATAAAACGTATCACTGCTCTTCTGGACTCTGCATGCTGCAGAGTTTGTTGATGCTTATACACATACATTTTTCAACATGAAAATAATTACAGAATTTTTGACCAGCTAAATGCAAAATTATCTCTAAAAGCAATACTATCTTCAAGTTGGGCTTTAAAATACCAGATGCACCTGTCAGCTTTAATTCCATCTCCTAACAATAGATAAGTGATATCAGGATACAGATTTTATTTGCATTGTGGAATTACAATATTTAAGATGAACTCCAGACTGAGACTGTTGGCTAAACCTTGCTGTTAGTCTCCATGTCCCCTCACCTTGTTAGGATCCCATCCATGCTAGCTGCACTACCAACTTCCAGGAATTTTTTAATGCCGGGGTGGCTAACCTCTTTCCCGCTGCCCAGCTGGACAGTCTTTCAAACTAAAGTACCTTTGAGGTCAGAACTGTTAGAAGGACGTTAAATATCTATGTAGCATTCTTTTCATATTCAGTAGAACTTTTTCTTTACTGAGCTCCTCTCTTCTACAGTTTTAATCAGCAAACATGGCAAAGCTCGCTTTGAGCCAAGGCAGAAAGTGGGGGCAGTTGGCCTTTCAGCACGCCTCCTTTGTGCCTTCTGCTACGGCTCTTGTCGCCTTCCTGCTACGGCCAGGTGCTAGCACGGCCTTAGCAAAACCTCCCAGCCATCCTGGGAAGGACAAGGGCCATCAGGGAAAGAAATAAAGGGGGGAAAAAAAGAGTGGATTCAGAGGTGATTGAACGCAGTAGAAAAGGACTCACAGACGCCGGGGAGAAGTGGATAAGAGAAAATATGGGGACAGCATCCTCTGGAAGGAGTGAGGGGAGGGGCTGAAAGTGTATGGATGAAATTCAACTGTGTGTTTTTTAAAAGCTGGAGCTATCAACTTCATTGCTATAGTTTCCAAGCACGAATAAAATCTTATCTCTCAGATGAGAATTTAGTGTCTACTCAGCAAAAACTATTGAGGAGTTATGCTAAAATGGCATACTAACTTCACCTTGTAGCAACCACCTATCATTTCTTCATCTGCTATGCTGATTATTCACACTGCTTGAACTGATTCACTGTTTCTTTCTATAATTGCCATCTAGCATGAGCAAACTCGAACCTGTCAGTGATAGCTCTGTCTATCTCTATTTAAGAACTGTTTATTCAGTTCCTGCAATTTGAGATTTGGAGACATGCCTGCGAGTTCCAGATACTACAGTGTTAGCAAAGTACTTCAGAGGGGTTTTTTTTTAGGTTAAACTTAGATGTGCTGACAGAGCATGTATCTTTTCTGCTCCTCAAAGAATTCCAGTTAGAAAGGACATCCAGTTTGTCAGCTAAGTATAACCATGTTTCAGCATTAGCTTTTGCATTAGCAGACTCTTGAGAAAACAATATCTCCATCTTCACACCTCATCTTAAGAGTCCCTGTCTTTGACCGTGTGAGAGGCAATAGTAAGTACAATTGAAATTGTGCTTTAAAGGTGTTTTTTTTTTTTTAACTATGGCCTATGAAGAGTGATATGAAAGAAGTATGTCATCGGCATTCTGTAGGGCAAGTCCAGCCACTCATTGGTATGATTGCATATTTGCAGATATTTGTAAGACGGTTTCAGGAAGTTCAATAAAACCTTTTTGGGTAGGACGTAAGAACTACTCTTGAGGGGTTCTCTGAACTGCTGAAGAGCTGGCATCTGTGGACTTTCAATCCCTGAGACATGGTGATGTGGTAAGATCTCCCTGTGAGCTATGACCTTGTAGGATGATGGTATGGGCAGGATCTATGTGTGAATTCATTGATGGGAGGGGGAAATTGCAGGCATTTAAGCTGTAGGGCACAACTTCCCAGCTTTCCTCTCCCTGGCAGATCAGTTCATTCAAATAATGCATGTTCAGTATTACTATGCTGTTCAGTTGCTAGCAGTTAAGTTGCTTTTTCAATTAAGTGTTGACCACTTAGAAAAGCAAAATGCATTAATCCACTAAAAGGTTTTCCAGTAAAGTCTGACTTAAGTAATGCCCTTAAATTTGCATTAAAGTAGCAAAACCTTCCTCGACTATATCTGCGTTACCTGGTTGCACAACTGCAAGTACTGAGGTAGAATAACTTACTGCTGTTTGATGTCTGGTAGGTATTTGTATGTGGATTACATTGCAGGGAGTGACAGGTGTCACAGTTAAGAAAAGCAACTGAGGAATGTCACGTAAAGCCCATCTCCTGCTTAAAATTCTACGCCCCACTTCCCCATTTCTGCTCGCCTTCCTGATTACTAAATTATTGCCCCGAATCGTTGCTCTCACGCAACTCTCCCGTTGCTTTTAGCAAGCATCAGCTCTGCTCCCGGGCTTGGTCTCCCAGCGCTGCACCTATCGCCTGGGCGGGCGCCCCGCTCCCGCCCTTTCCCTCTACACTACAACTCCCAGCATGCAGCTGGCCCCGCCCGCGCCCGCCGCGCGGGGGCT